GAATTTTGGTTAAGTTTCGTTGGGGTTTTTTTGAGTTTTGTTGTTTTGCCGTTTTGTGAGTGTGTTGTTGTGTTGTTTTTCATTTTGAGTAGATATGTTTGTACCTTGTGGGTTGTGTTATGGGCATGGGAATTTTGGTTAAGTTTCATTGGGTTTTTTTTAGTTTTGTTGTTTTGCCGTTTTGTGAGTGTGTTGTTGTGTTGTTTTTCATTTTGAGTAGATATGTTTGTACCTTGTGGGTTGTGTTATGGGCATGGGAATTTTGGTTAAGTTTCGTTGGGGTGTTGTGGAGTTTTGCTGTCCCGTTGAACCAACCTAACCGATTTATATATATAGATGACATGGTGGGCCATATTCAACATGAAAGCCTTGCGTTTGACCCATATGCCTTAAGGCAGTGTTTCTCAACCTGGGGGTTGGGACCCCTGGGAGGGTTGTGAGTGCGGTCAAAGGGGTCGCCAAATACCATCAGAAAACACAGTATTTTCTGTTGGTCATCGGGATTCTGTGTTAGAAGTTGGATCCAATTCTATCGTGGGTGGGGTTCAGAATGTTCTTTGATTGTAGGTGATCTATAAATCGCAGAAACAATAACTCCCCAATGTCAAGGTCTATTTTTCCCAATCCCCACCAGTGTTCAAATTTGGACATATTGAGTATTCATGCCAAGTTTGGTCCAGATCCATCATTGTTTGAGTCCACAGTGCTCTCTGGATGTAGGCGAACTACAACTCCAAAACTCAAGGTCAATGCCCACCAAATTCTTCCAGTATTTTTGTTGATCAGGGGAGTTCCGTGTGCCAAGTTTGGTTCAATTCCATTGTTGGTGGAGTTCAGAATGCTCTTTGATTGTTGGTGAACTATAAATCGCAGCAACTACAACTCCCAAATGACAAAAATCAATCCCCCCTAACCCCACCAATATTCAAATTTGCGCTTATCGGGTATTTGTGCCAAATTTAGTCCAGTGAATGAAAATACATCCGGCATATCAGATATTTACATTACGATTCATAACAGTAGCAAAATTAGTTATGAAGTAGCAACAAAAATAATTTTATGGTTGTGGGTCACCACAACATGAGGAACTGTTTTAAGGGGTCGCAGCATTAGGAAGGTTGAGAAACACTGCCCTAAGGTGAAACTATCACAGAAAATGTGTATATCTTCAAGGCACAACTAATTGGAATATATTGTTAGAAATATATTTGTGCAGTGTTGTCCTATATATGCTTATTAAGAAGTAAGGCACATTGAGTTCAAGGGAATCTGCATTATTAGTGCAACATGCTTAGTGAATTAGTCTATGTGTATTTGGTACAGTGGCAGCTTATGAATAGATCTGTTCTGTATCTGCCCTTTTAAATTATTTTCTAAATGTCCTCCAATATCTAATGGCTGGTTACCACATAAAATGAATCTTGAAGCAGTTTACAGTGGAAATTGATAGCTTTTGTCTACGGTCTAATAATGTAGACACTCAAAAAAGGATCTATCAAGCAGACATTTCTATTGCTAATTTTGCCACTTCCTCAACCAAATTATTCTTGGCAGCAACTGATGTTCTTTGCATTGCTTTCCCTAGCAATTTTTACAAACTAAAAATATAGTGCCATTGCTCCTCAAAAGACAGGAAGTTTCTAGAAATACAGTAGCGTATATTCATTCGTTGTAGTAATAAGTAGCACAAGATGTATTTTGTCCACTTCAAAATGCCTTCTTAGGCCAACACATTTCCTAGTCATGAAAAGAAATGTTTCCCGTCCAGTATCTGAACAAGCTCGGTCTCCCCGCTCTGCACTTTCAAACTAGTCAGCTTTGCATGACGTGTCCTTTTCCAAAAGTTCTTATCAACGTAGGCAAAGAAAGCAAATACTTGGAACAAAGATGGAGCTGCTACTGGTCATTTCCACCCCACTATGGCTAGAGGAGGGGGGGGGGGGGGGGGGGGAGAGAAGGGCTTTTTAATGCTTGCTTTTTCAGACTGATGAACCTTTTTGGCTTTTCTCTGCAGCTCTTTTTAAAAAGGGGAACTCACAAAGCCACATGCGAATAGCCTGTGGTAATGTATACAAAACAGATTTGTGGTGACATAAAATGCCTCTGGGTATTGCCTAAGAAAATCCTGTGGAATTCATGGGGCCACCAAAAGCAGAGAGACATCATGAAGGCACACACAAAAGAAGGCAGGACAATTTCTGTCACAAGAGATCTGTCTGTTAGTCATTTCAGTCTCTGTGCAAGCCTGTATTTTTTGCAATTGAGCAACGCAAGCATCATCTCTTGGAATCAAAAGAACAAGTTTGAACACCCTGATTTTCTTGCCTCCTCAGAATGTCTCCAAAAACCTGAGTAGGGACACGTCTGCATATCTCTATTTCCAGAGGTTTTTCCACTCATTTTCTCCTGCCCAGCAAAGGAACAAAACCGATAGTCTGAAGGTGCATCTACACTGTCAAACGAATGCAGTTTGATACCCCTTTAACTGCTCTGTACTGTGGCATTCTGGGATTGTAATTTGGTGCTCAGGTCTGCTCTTTGGCAGACCTTGTAAAACTACAAACCCTATGATTCAATAGCACTGGGCCATGGAAGTTAAAGCGGTGTCATTCGGTATGAAATGGGACAGTGAAGATGCACCCTGCGTTGTGGGAGAACTCATTACTCCTGTGTGGGCCAAAAGTCACAAAAGGGTCCCAATATTACAGAACTCGTTTATGCTGTGTTTTCATATTCACAATACCATTTGAAAGACACCTTTGAAAGAAGGAATTCTAAAAGGTTTAAATTGTATTATTTTAGCTCTGTTAGCCACTTTGAATCCCCCTCAGAAGATGAAAGCAGGATATAAATAATTATAATTATAATTTTGGGCCCACCCTGTATTGATGCTGAGTTTTGAGAGGGCCTATTGCTATTAATACCAGCACAAGTGCCCAGTACTAATACTGAGTTGTGAGAGGACTTAACGGCTATTTGTGAGAGGGCTTTGCTATTAGTACTAATAAAAGGGCCCAGTATTACTACTAAGTTCTGTGAGGATGCAGTACTGTTTCATTATCCAGAACACAAGGGTCCAACATTAATACTGAGTTGTGAGAGGACTTATTGCTATTAATGCTAACACAAGAGCACAGTATTAATATTGCATTGTGAAAGGACTAATTACTATTAATACTAACACAAGGACTCAGTATTAATACTGTGTTGTGAGAGGACTAAATGCTGGCTGAATCTACACTGCTCTATATCCCAGGATCCGATCCCAAATTATCTGCTTATCCCAGACTATCTGGCAGTGTAGATTTATGTAATTCAGTTCAAAGCAGATAATATGAGATCAGATCCTATAGAGCAGTGTAGACCCAGCTGCTATGAATGCTAACACAAGGGCTCTCAGCATTAATACTGAGTTGTGAGGGGACTTATGGCTATTTGTGACAGGGTTTTGCTATTAATACTGACACAAGGGCCCAGTATTAATACTGAGTTCTGTGAGAACTTATTGCTATTAATACTGACACAACGGCCCAGTATTAATACTGAGTTGTGAGAGGACTTAACACTATGGATACTCCCCTTCAATACTAACATAAAGGCTTAGTATTGAGATGTGAGAAGACTTAATGCTATTAATGCTAGCACAAGGGCTCAGTATTAATACTGAGTTGAGGACTAAATTCTATTAAAACTAGCACAAGGACCTAACATTAATTCTGAGTTGTGAAAGGACTAAATGCTATTAGTATTAGCACAAGGGCTCAGTATTGATACTGAGTTGAGAGAGAACCAAATGCAATTAATATGAACACAAGGGCTCAATATTGATACTGAGTTGAGAGAGGACCAAATGCTATTAATACTAACAGAAGGGCTCAGTATTGATACAGAGTTGAGAGAGGACCAAATGCTATTAATATGAACACAAGGGCTCAGTATTGATACTGAGTTGAGAGAGGGCTTTGCTACTAGTACTAACACAAGGGCTCAGTATTGATACTGAGTTGAGAGAGGACTAAATGCTATTAATACAAACACAAGGGCTCAGTATTGATACTGAGTTGAGAGAGGACTAAATGCTATTAATACGAACACAAGGGCTTAGTTATGATACTGAGTTGGGGGGAGAGCTTTGCTATTAATACGAACACAAGGGCTCAGTATTAATACTGAGTTGAGAGAGGACTAAATGCTATTAATACGAACACAAGGGCTCAGTATTGATACTGAGTTGAGAGAGGACTAAATGCTATTAATACGAACACAAGGGCTCAGTTATGATACTGAGTTGGGGGGAGGGCTTTGCTATTAATACGAACACAAGGGCTCAGTATTGATACTGCGTTGTGAGAGGACTAAATGCTATTAGTACTAATTAAATGCTATTAGTATTAATACTGGGATGTGAGAAGACCTCTTGCTATTAGTAGTAGCACAAGGGCCCAGTATTAATACTGAGTTGTGAGGGTTTTGCTATTAATGCTAACACAAGAGCTCAGTATTGATACTGAGTTGAGAGAGGACTAAATGCTATTAATACTACAAGGGCCTAGTATTGATACTGAGTTGGGAGAGGACTAAATACTATTAATACTACAAGGGCCTAGTATTGATACTGAGTTGAGAGAGGACTAAATGCTATTAATACTACAAGGGCCTAGTATTGATACTGAGTTGGGAGAGGACTAAATGCTATTAATACTACAAGGGCCTAGTATTGATACTGAGTTGAGAGAGGACTAAATGCTATTAATACTACAAGGGCCTAGTATTGATACTGAGTTGGGAGAGGACTAAATGCTATTAATACTACAAGGGCCTAGTATTGATACTGAGTTGGGAGAGGACTCATTACTGCTAGCACAAAAGGGAAGCACCGAATCAGCCCCAAATGAGGAAAAGCGTGAGGGGGGGGGCGAGGAGGGGTTTAGGCGGGAAGAGGCCCAGCTGGCTCTCCTTCCCTTCGCCCCCTCCCCCGCGGGGTCTCCATGGCAACCTACTCTTGGCCTTGCTGAGGTGCAGCGAGTGGTCCGTGACGTGGGCCCTGCCCGCCTCGCCCGGGTACACCTCTCCCCCGGCGTAGTAGTGGCACTTCTTGTCGCCCCAGCCCTCCGCTTCATCCGGCGCCGAGATCATGGCCAGCAGCAGCACCAAAGACAGCCGGAAGACAGCCGTTAACGGTCGCCCCCGGGCCGCGGGGCCGTCGCTCGCTCGAGGCTCCATGGTTGCCTCGGGAATGGCTCGCGCCGCACGGGAAAGAAGGCAGCTGCAGGCCCCGCGCGGGAGGAGGAGGGGGAGGAGGCGGAGGGGGAGGAGGAGGAGGAGGCCGCCCAGGCTGGGGGCGGAACCCAGGACCGTCCCCTGAGGGAGGGAGGGAAGGAAGGAAAGAGGGACGCAGAGGCCTCACCCTCCGCCCCCTCCTCCTCCTCCGCCCCTCACGTTTCGCTCCTGCCTTCATTATTATTTCTGAGTTCTGCCCCTTTTTTGGCCCTGTGACGGGTCGAGTGTTCCATTGGTCCTGTGGTGATCCTCTTTCAGGTTCAATTATGCCTCAGATGTTTAAGGCTAGACGTGTTTGGGATTTCGGTTTTGGAATAATTGCAGTACACCACCTATGGGCAAAGTTGGGTCCTCCCTCCAGGTGTTTTGGACTCCAACTCCCACCATTCCTCGTAGCCTCAGTCCCCTTCCTTTTCCCCCTCAGCCGCTTAAGGGTTTGGGGGGGGGTGGTTTCGGGGGGGGGGGCTGAGTCTGAGTGAAAGAGGGTCTACCTTAGCAAACCTTTTGTATCGTTACCCCAATACCCCCATGCATATGGGATATATTGAGTATGGTGATCAGATCATGATATGAATAAACATAACAGTTTAAATAATGCACCAGTAAGGCCTTCTTCTAATCAAGGTGAGAATTTCGGGGGGGGGGGGGGTTAAGCCCCCCCCCCCACCTACATGCCTGCCTCAAAGACAAGGCAACAATGGTTTGCAGGAGTCTTAACTTTCTATCCACTTTCTATCATTTCTCCCTGTCCTGTTCCTATATGTATCAAATACATATTAAATGTATGTATCAGCTATATGATTTCTGCAAAAGTAAACCACAGGAGTCTTCACTTTCCTGCTGACCCCACTGAGGGATTTCCCGGACAGAAGGAGCTAGGCATGTTCCCCAGCTGCCCCAGACCAAGGTGACAGTCGGTACCCACTGTGTGCACATGTGAATCAACAGATGGTTTCCGCTCTTGATCTGATAAGCACCAGTTGATATTTGTTCAACCAAATGTCCCACTTGAGCTCAGAGATCACTAACCATAAAGACAAGGACTCACAATATATACCCAAGTCTGGACCCTGTTGCAAAAATCACCATCCTTTGTTTCAGGGATCCTGGACATTTGACTATCACAACCCCATCTTTATCACCCAAAGCTGGACTATTATGATAGAAGCCCCCTAAGTCCTCCTGATATGATCACAGGAACTTCCTGGGGCTATCTCCTCCCAGAAGGTCTTTTAGTCTTTAAAGCAGCAAAAATAAGCTTATTTCCTCCTGAAAATGTGATCCTTTCAAATGTTTAAAATAGCTAGCATACCCTCTCTCAACCTTCTCTTCTTCAAGTTAAACATACCCAGCTCCTTAAGCTACTTCTCCCAGAGCTTAGCTTTGACATTTTTGTTTCCCTTCTCTGGATACATTCTAGCTTGTCAATATCCTTCTTGAATTGTGGTGCCCTAAACTGGACACAGTATTTCAGGTGACGCCTGACCAATGCAAAGACTGGGACTGTTTTCTCAATCTAGACAATAGTGTATAGTTCTTGTTTTTGTTTTTGTTTTAAATTAATTTGCTGAGATCTAAATAATTTGCAACATTGTCACAATTGCATATACACAACAACATAGTATTATTTTTACCCCATATAACACAGTCTATTGATTACATTCTATCCTTTACAGATCTATACATCTATTACTTATCTCTATCCACCTTTCTCCCTCCCACCTCCCTCTCGGAACAGTTATGACTCTATTCATTGGTTTACATTGTTTGTTCGGTCATGGAGATTATTTGGTTCATTTTATTGTCCTTTCTCTTTCTCTCTGGCTATAAGCTCTTTCCACTTCAACTCCCAGTCCTCCTTTGGATGACCATTCATTTACTTTGTCCTCCTTTCAGTTATGTAATCTTGGAACATATACTCTGATAAATATTCAAGCCATTTTAAAATTTCCCACTTGCCTTCATCTTTTCATCCTAAGGCAACTGTTGCTTGGGTACTATAGTACTTGTGAAGCTGTCTAGAATAACACTGGCCTTTTAAAACTGCTGTATCACACTGTTGATTCATGTTAAGCTTGTGGTCTACTAAGACCCTAGATCGCTTCTATTGTAGTGCTGTCAAGCTAGGTTTCACCCATTCTTTTTTCTGTGCATTTCATTTTTTTCCTGCCTAATGTAGTACCTTATCACTCTTTATTGAGCTTACATGATGAAATTGTGCCTGTATGAGGACCAGGACTTGGATGATTTAGTACATAGTGATATAATGATAATACTGTTACTTGTGTGCCAAAAATAAATTTGCATACATACATGCCTACATTGATGTTTAAGGAAGATAGGAATAGTTTGATTGCTCACCTATATTACTCTTTAAAATAATTTGAAAAGTTGATCTATTCCATTACTAGCTCTTATGTGTTAGAGCCATATGGTACTGTACTTGCTAGCATATGGTAAAGCAGCAAGATTTTAAGTGCCACATGACTGGTCCTTAAATTCCATCTAGCAAAAGTTGTTGCTTAAGCTCTAACAGAGGACAGCATTACCTCTTTCCTGAATTTTAATGAATAAAATATGTTATTGTCAAAGGAGGGCTTGGTTATGCATTTTTCTTTATTATGTTGTTGCTGTCAGTGCTTCTTTGGTCCTGACATCCTCCTGGGCCTTTCTGAAGATAACATTTATTTTGTTGTTTCCAGACTTGAATCTCATTTAGTTCTCCTTCATCTCAATCATAAATCTGCATGTGGTAATCTCCTGGTTTATTCTCATAGAGTTTTCCTTCATCTTTATCATAAGTCTACATGTGGCAATCTCCTTGTTTACAAAGCACCTGTATCAGCTCCTCAGTTCAGCATCATTCGATTATCACATTCTCAAGCTAGCTTTCTTAATAGCCACAAATATTAGAGCAAGTGAAATGTGTACCTTAGAGTGGAACAGCCATATCTTACCTGACACACAGAAAAGGTGGTGCCTTGGCCTATCTTAGATTGTGTTGGTTTTCCGCCTAGCTTGTTAGGTAATTCTTCTGTTGTATTTCTTTGGCACTTCTTGATGTCCACAGGGCATTGGCCCTCTATACTGACTGAATCGTACCTTTCCATGCCACCCAGCTGTTGTTTGTCTGCCACGAGCAAAAGGAAGGCCAGCCCTTGTTGGCCAACCCATACAAATATTTGCCAAGTAGATTGGAAAAAAAAACCTAATATGTTAGTCTCCAGAAAGCTAGCTAAGTTGGAACTTCCTGTATTTCTCCATCATCACTCTTTGAGAGACATTGCTGCTTTGACCATCTTTTAAAGAAGTGCCAGAGCTTTGTTGAGGGAGGATTACTTGGACTCAGTCCTACACTTTAATTCAGATAACAGAGTTTGTTGGAGGACTCTTATTCATTGAGACACCATATGTCAAAGCCAACTTGACAGCAAGTAACATCAAAACTACTTTGATGCTTATGCTGAAGCAAATGAGACATTTGGAAGATCCATACTACCATCAGTTTCTTCTCTAATGTATCTCTCGTCTGTCTCATGTGATAAATTTGCTAATTGGTGTTCACATGTGTGATGCATTGGGACCACAAGAAGAAAGACCATTCAATCACTCTATTACAAGCAGTCAGAAAAACGGTGGTAGTGAGGACTGAATGCACAAGGGGAGCCAGTGGTATTATTTATACAGCTGATAGTACCTAGTTTTGCTTATATGGTTCTTGCTGTTAGATTCATTGCGTCACATGATGATACCAGGCTGGCTTAGTGGTATAGGGCAGACTTTTGCTCCCTGCATCCTGTCATCTGAGGCCTGAGGTGGTCACCTTACTTTGTTTGTCAATAAGACTAGCTCTGGCATATTTTCATTGGCAGTGTCAGAAGCAATCCATCTTAAAATACTAGAAACATTGTGTAAGGGGCAAGGATTTCCCACTTTCACACGTAGGAACATACAGTCATTGGACAAGCTTAGCTAAAGCAAGGCAAAAGTTTTAATAGCAGATGCTCCATAAATGCAAGTTATCTATCCATGTGAATGTCTATGGGGTTTTTGAATAAATTGGAATTGTTTTCAGAAGCAACTACTGTGTTATCCCGAGGTAGTTAATGTTTCAATAGGTGGCAGTGTTCTCTTATTTTTATATTTAGATGGTAGATTTTAGAATAAAAAAAACCTGAGATAATAGACAAAACAAAACAAAAACCCCCCACCAAAACTGGATTGTTTGTCTATGGGAGGCTGTTTTGAAGATTGGAAATTATAGCTGATTCAGAATACCGCTGCTGTTGTCCAATTGAATAATTGGCTCAATTGCCATTTAATCTACACTGGTTTCTGGTGTAAACTCTCCCATTAAGAAGGAAGTGCTTGTTGCTTTTTTTTTTAAGCTTTAGATGATTTTTGTGGGGCTGGGTTATCTGAAGGACTCCCTGCCTGTTAAAAGTGGCTGGGGAAGATCTATTCATCTTGCTGCCATATGCTTGCTGAGAATGATAGAACATAGCTTCTTAATGGGAGAGTTTAAGCTCTAGAACTTCCTTGAGACTTCTGAAAGATAGTCAAGACATGTTTTTATGTTGTGCTGCTCACAGAATTTTGTTTCCTGACTACAAAACATTGAGGAGGAAACCACATTTAAATGTAAGTTTAAATATGTGGAGGTGAAACTTATTACATAGTGATGAATGCATAACCGAGCATTATGCATTTGTGACTGCCTTGTATTCATGATCCCTGCAAATCCCCCTCATTTAGGGAATGCATAGAGACCATGGAAGTCCCTCAATGCCCACTTACCAGGCAGCAACTGTGATCAATCAGGGAATGTTTCTTTTGTGTTCAGGATGCAGCTGACTAATGTCTCACCTACTGATTCATACATATATAAAAATGAATTAAATTAATGTTGAACTGCCAAAAGGTCTTTCTGGCTACATTTTTCATACTGTACATGTTTCCCCCTTGAATGCAGAATAGCATGCTTTGGAAAGAAGAATATGAGTTTGTAAAAGTGAATTGTGCAATTTCAGACT